CTTTAGACCACGATATACGAATTTCGTGTCGCGGGCGCTTGCAGGCATTGCTGCATAGACTGACTGCATATAGGGGTACTACTGGCATTCATGCGCTAAATCTTGAATTTTCTCCGCAACTGCTGGGTTTCAGGACCTGTCCTTTGGCCAGCATGTGGGCCTCATCAAAAGCTTCCGAACAAGGTATAATTACGAAGTTCGTATCGCGGGCGCTTGCAGGCATTGCTGTATGGACTGACTGCACATAGGGGTACTACTGGCATTGATGCGCTAAATCTTAAATTTTCTCCGCAACTGCTGGGTTTCAGGACCTGTCCTTTTGCCAGCTTGTGGGCCTCATCACAAGCTTCCGAACAAGGTAGAGTTTGTGCAGAACTGCCCAGGTTAAGGTACCTTTAGACCGCGATTTACGAAGTTCGTGTCGCGGGCGCTTGCAGGCATTGCTGTATAGACTGGCTGCACATAGGGGTACTACTGGCATTGATGCGCTAAATCTTGAATGTTCTCCGCAACTGCTGAGTTTCAGGACCTGTCCTTTCACCAGCTTGTGGGACTCATCACAAGCTTTCGAACAAGGTATAGTGCAGAACTGCCCAGGTTAATGTACCTTTAGACCGCGATATACGAAGTTCGTGTCTCGGGCGCTTGCAGGCATTGTTGTATAGACTGACTGCACATAGGGGTACTACTGGCATTGATGCGCTAAATCTTGAATTTTCTCCGCAACTGCTGGGTTTCATGACCTGTCCTTTTGCCAGCTTGTGGGCCTCATCACAAGCTTCCGAACAAGGTATAGTTGGTGCAGAACTGCCCAGGTAAAGGTACCTTTAGACCGCGATATACGAATTTCGTGTCGCGGGCGCTTGCAGGCATTGCTGTATAGACTGACTGCACATAGGGATACTACTGGCATTGATGCTCTCAATCTTAAATTTTCTCCGCAACTGCTGGGTTTCAGGACCTGTTCTTTTGCTTGCTTGTGGGCCTCATCACAAGCTTCCGAACAAGGTATAGTTTGTGCAGAACTGCCCAGGTTAAAGTACCTTTAGACCGCGATATACGAAGTTCGTGTCGCGGGCGCTTGCAGGCATTGCTGTATATTCTGACTGCACATAGGAGTATTACTGGCATTGATGCTCTCAATCTTAAATTTTCTCCGCAACTGCTCGGTTTCAGGACCTGTCCTTTTGCCAGCTTGTGGGCCTCATCACAAGCTTCCGAACAAGGTATAGTTTGTGCAGAACTGCCCAGGTTAAGTTACCTTTAGACCGCGATATACGAAGTTCGTGTCGCGGGCGCTTGCAGGCATTGCTGTATAGACTGACTGCACATAGGGATACTACTGGCATTGATGCGCTAAAACTTGAATTTTCTTCGCAACTGCTGAGTTTCAGGACCTGTCCTTTTGCCAGCTTGTGGGCCTCATCACAAGCTTCCGAACAAGGTATAGTTTGTGCAGAACTGCCCAGGTAAAGATACCTTTAGACCGCGTTATACGAAGTTCGTGTCGCGGGCGCTTGCAGGTATTGCTGTATAGACTGACTGCACATAGGGATACTACTGGCATTGATGCGCTAAATCTTGAATTTTCTCCGCAACTGCTGGGTTTCAGGACCTGTCCTTTTGCCAGCTTGTTGGAGTCATCACAACCTTCCGAACAAGGTATAGTTTGTACAGAACTGCCCAGGTTAAGGTACCTTTAGACCGCGATATACGAAGTTCGTGTCGCGGGCGCTTGCAGGCATTGCTGTATAGACTGACTGCACATAGGGGTACTACTGGAATTGATGCGCTAAATCTTGAATTTTCTCCGCAACTGCTGGGTTTCAGGACTTGTCCTTTTGCCAGCTTGTGGGCCTCATCGCAAGCTTCCGAACAAGGTATAGTTTGTGCAGAACTGCCCAGGTTATTCAATCGTCGGATTAATTTAACTGGGTTGACACTGTTTCAATACCAATTTATTCGGGGCGCAAATAGAATACACTTTGGATGTCCTTTAACCCGTGTACGCCATTGGAACGGGACATTACAGACATTTAGGATGGTACAAAATCATTTCAAAATGGGATATCCGTATTTTCTTTGGAAAACTGCTGTTTTGTACATTATTTGTCAATCGTCGGATTAATTTAACTGGGCTGACTCAGTTTCAATACCAATTTATTCGGGGCGCGAATAGAATACATTTTGGATGTCCCTCAACCCGTGTATGTAATTGGAACGGGACATTTCGGACATTTAGGATGGTACAGAAATCATTTCAAAATGGGATATCTGCATTTTCCTTGGAAAACGGCTGTTTTGTTTCGTAATTATCAACCGTCGGATTAATTTAATTGAGCTGACACTGTTTCAGTTCGGATTTATTCGGGGCGCGAATAGAATACATTTTGGATGTCCCTTAACCCGTGTGTGTAATTGGAACGGGACATTGCGGACATTTAGGATGGTACAAAATCATTTCAAAATGGGATATCCGTATTTTCGTTGGAAAACGGCTGTTTTGTATCGTGATTATCAATCGTCGGATTAATTTAATTGGGCTGACTCTGTTTCAATACTGATTTATTTTGGGCGCAAATAGAATACGCTTTGAGAGTCCCTTAACCCATGTATGCAATTGGAACGGGACATTTCGGACATTTACGATGGTACAAAATCATTTCAAAATGGGATACCCGTATTTTCGTTGGAAAACGACTGTTTTGTAAGTTAATTATCAATCGTCGGATTAATTTAATTGGGCTGACTCTGTTTCAATACTGATTTATTCGGGGCGCAAATAGAATACACTTTGAGAGTCCCTTAACCCATGTATGCAATTGGAACGGGACATTTCGGACATTTACGATAATACAAAATCATTTCAAAATGGGATACCCGTATTTTCGTTTGAAAACGACTGTTTTGCAAGTTAATTATCAATCGTCGGATTAATTTAATTGGGCTGACTCTGTTTCAATACCGATTTATTCGGGGCGCAAATAGAATACACTTTGGATGTCCCTTAACCCGTGTATGCCATTGGAACGGCACAATTCGGACATTTAGGATGGTTTCAAAATGGGATATCCGTATTTTCTTTCGAAGACGAATGTTTTGTACGTTAATTACCAATCGTCGGATTAATTTAATTGGGCTGACTCTGTTTCAATACTGATTTATTTTGGGCGCAAATAGAATACACTTTGAGAGTCCCTTAACCCATGTATGCAATTGAAACGGGACATTTCGGACATTTACGATAATACAAAATCATTTCAAAATGGGATACCCGTATTTTCGTTTGAAAACGACTGTTTTGCAAGTTAATTATCAATTGTCGGATTAATTTAATTGGGCTGACTCTGTTTCAATACCGATTTATTCGGGGCGCAAATAGAATACACTTTGGATGTCCCTTAACCCGTGTATGCCATTGGAACGGCACAATTCGGACATTTAGGATGGTACAATATCATTTGAAAATGGGATATCCGTATTTTCTTTCGAAGACGAATGTTTTGTACGTTAATTATCAATCGTCGGATTAATTTAATTGGGCTGACTCTGTTTCAATACTGATTTATTTTGGGCGCAAATAGAAAACACTTTGGATGTCCCTTAACCCGTGTATGCAATTGGAACGGGACATTTCGGACATTTAGGATGGTACAAAATCATTTCAAAATGGGATATCCGTATTTTCTTTGGAAAACGAATGTTTTGTACGTTAATTATCAATCGTCTGATTAATTTAATTGGGATGACTCTGTTTCAATACTGATTTATTCCGGGCGCAAATAGAAAACACTTTGGATGTCCCTTAACCCGTGTATGCAATTGGAACGGGACATTTCGGACATTTAGGATGGTACAAAATCATTTCAAAATGGGATATCCGTATTTTCTTTGGAAAACGGCTGTTTTGTTTCGTAATTATCAATCGTTGGATTAATTTAATTGGGATGACTCTGTTTCAATACTGATTTATTCGGGGCGCAAAATAGAATACACTTGGGATGTCCCTTAACCCGTGTATGCAATTGGAACGGGCCATTTCGGACATTTAGGATGGTACAAAATCATTTCAAAATGGGACATCCGTATTTTCTTTGGAAAACCGGTCTTTTGTATCGTAATTATTAATTGTCGGATTAATTTCATTGGGCTGACTCTGTTTCAATACTGGTTTATTCGGGGCGCAAATAGAATACATTTTGGATGTCCCTTAACCCGTGTATGCAATTGGAACGGGACATTTCGGACATTTAGGATGGTACAAAATCATTTCAAAATGGGATATCCGTATTTTCTTTGGAAAACGGCTGTTTTGTACGTTAATTATCAATCGTTGGATTAATTCAATCGGGCTGACTCTGTTTCAATACCGATTTATTCCGGGCGCGAATAGAATACACTTTGGATGTCCCTGAACCCGTGTAAGCAATTGGAACGGGATATTTCCGGCATTTAGGAGGGTACAAAATCATTTTGCAATTATTATAATACCTGTGTACGTACGTGTCATAAAAGTATCGTAGAGGGCACTAAACAACCATGTATTTTGGGAAAAGATGATCACGGCCAGGCCTTATGAGTATTAATTTCTATGAAAAAAATGGAAAGTTTTGCAAAAACAGGAAAGAAAGATATGAAATCAGGCCCCCCCCCCCCCCCCCGGGACTCATGCATGGGACCCGGTCCTTCCCGCAACGCAACACTACTCAAGGAGTAGTCTGGCGGATATAGCGCCCTCTCATCGGCTATAATGAGAGTTACTGAACCTTAGTTCAGTAACGTTAACATTTATAACATTAACATTCCCAATTGTGAAAAACAATTGCCACAGTCTTCATTACGATTTACTTTAGAGTCGAATAAACAACATTTTCAGTTATTTAAGGTAATCCACCGTGATAAGAAGTTGAACTTCCTTTATAATTCGTTTTCTCCTAATGTGCATTTGCAATGACTGTTTAGGGCCACCGTAGTGGCAATTAATCCTCACGGCGGTGCGCCGCCGTAAAAATAGTGCCTAGCCGAAAATCCGGCCAGCCGAAAATCCGGCCCGATTTTCGTGCCAAGATCAGCCTGGTCCAAATTTACGTCTGGAAGTTCTGTTTATTTTCAACTTTGCGTTATTTTTCTTCAGTTATGGAACTACGGGTTTTGTCGAATACATCGCCAGCATTTGTTGTCTTATTTTGTTTGTTAGTTTGCATGATCTTTCCAAATGCATTGCCCTCAGACTCAGAGAAAGACACATCAGCAAAAAAGACAGCAGACGACGATGAACATGATGAACATGATGAACATGAAAACAAAATGAACTTGAAGTTTCAAGAGAAGCCGATGCGTGCTTTCACTGATGAAGACCTGTCAGTCTATGATGGATCTTTTGTAAGCAAAATCAGTCGTGTGTGTGGGTGTATAACGTTATTTTTAGCCATTTGGATAAATTATGTTTAAGTAGCAAAGCACTTGACAGTTGGGTAATCCTTACTTTTAGTTTTAGGACACCTCTATTTTGTACGAGTTCTGTTCAAAACTGACTTTTGCAGATGACTGTCCAGTACCAAAGTGACTTTTGCAGGCTAAAGAAGTCTTTTTTCTTCAGACAAACTAATGTTAGTTATAATTTTGAAAGCACTTTCAAAGAAAATGTGACTTTCCTACCTTTTTTTGCAGTTCGCCATCTTGCTTTTTAAATTTATTTTCTGTTTGTCATCGTCGTCTTTAACCCCTCATACAGTGTAAATCAAAACCCTGCCCTCTTTCTACAAAATCAAACCTGCTGATATTCAAGAGGTGTCATTGCCAAATGTTCAAATGTGTCAATAAATATCAGAATGTCACTTTTGAGTGTCATAGTCAGCTGTTTTGGTGAGTCTTTTAACCTTATATAGGAAAGGGGTCCTAAAAGTAAGGATTACCGACAGTTGCCTCGTCCGAGTAACTAGCATGACTAGGACTCTACGAATCCCTTTTTTAACATTTGGACAATGTTAAAAAAGCGATTCGTAGAGTCCTAGTTACTCGGAATAACAGTTGCCACCCTGTATGTCGTGTTTTCTCAGTAAATCAATTCAAAATGCCTTAAAAGTTCCCTGCTTTAATTTTTTATAGGACAGGTTGTACTTTCTGATGGCTGATAAATATACATCATACATGTCAGTCACTGTAGTAGGAAAAAATTAGTGATGTATGGAATTCTTCCCATTGTTTTTTCGGCCTCCATGATTACACAAAACTTTAAATAGGTCAGTGGAACGATGTTTGATGTAAAATACTTACCCCAAATTTGTCCATTTCTGAAAAACAACAAAAGCAATCATTGTAAAACTTGTATATAAAATTATTACCTTTTACTTTAAATAGTAAATTGTGTATTTGAAATTATGATTTTTGTTTATATTTTACCCCTAGGAAGGTAGGCCAATTTACTTGGCTGTGAAAGGTGTTGTCTTTGATGTAACATCAGGGAAGGGTAAGTCTGTATATGTTTTTTTTAATTTATTGAATATTCATACAAACATTAGTGCATTCAACAGTTAGTCATATAAACAGGTATTTGTATTTTCAAGGATTTGATATGCAGATACAAAGATAAGATGAATATATAATTTGGACTCGTTCAAACAACAACAAACATTGGCCTATACCAAACCATGAAAATTCCCAGGTACGGTTAATTGGCACTGACCTAAATATCACAAGGTATGGCACAGCCATTTAGAATTATTATATATGTGCAATTTTCTCAGAATGTTAAGTGTGCCGAATCAGAACTTTCTACTTTTTGGTCTAGAATTCTATGGGAAAGGAGCCACATACAATCCTCTGGCGGGCAAGGACTGCACAAGAGCAGTTGCTAAGATGTCACTGGACCCTCAAGACCTTACTGCAGATGTTGTAAGGGAACGTTTTTGTCTTCTCCATTCTATGTATTCAGTCTTTTAAATTTGAATGACTCATTACTTTTACATTGAAGGTCTGAATCCAGTGTATGTAAAAGGCTCCCCTTAGTTGAAGCTGGTAAGCACTTGGCTGAAGACAATAATTACGTTTTAAATTTTGTTTTATTCCTACAACATCCAACAGCAAAAATTTCATTGACAGGATGGATAAAATCAATATATACATTTTGTTTCCTTTGCTTTTTCCCTAGCTAAGCAATATAATAGTTATTCACTCTTGGATGAGACATTGACTGAAAAAAATCACCAATGTTTAGCTATTGAATTATTTCCTCACAAAATTCAAATTATTAGCTGTCAGACAATAATTCGGCTCAATTCATTTGTCTGCAAAATTAAAGCCCTTTTTCAGAGGTTTGCAGGTGCCAAAAAGTGGGAAAGGTAGGTGTTTTTTTTGTTAAAACAAAACATGCAAATTGAAAATTTGTTTGGAGAAAAACAACAACTTTTAAAAGATAATATAAAGAAGTCTAAAAACAGGTCTCAGAAAGGTCTCAATCTTGTTACAATTTCAGACATTTTTGCTCTTTTGCTCTTTCTGGCAGACTGGCCTCTCCAAAGAAGAACTCGACTCGCTGGATAAAGTCTTCAGGGAGGTGTACATGGCCAAATACCCTGTTGTGGGTCATATGTCATTTACAGCTGTGGACATGGATGCAGAGCCACTATACAGGACGGAATTATAACGTACACTTCCCAACTGGCTGGTTTCCCAGGGAAGTAGTCGAGTCTATCACAAGTCCCTGCAAGTGCCTGCAAGTCCATCATCTCAACTCCTCCAGTCCCAATTCAAATAAGGCAAAAAAAAATAATAGTTCTTCTTCAGGTTTCCCTACCTACCCTATTCTGACAGCCCCTACCCTAATTTTTTTATTGGAAAATGAGAAAAAAACACCCCAAACAATCATTTTATACCTTTTACCCTTGACTTCACGCAGAGGCCTCCATATGATCGTACACAAAAAAATTTGGCAATAAAAAAAATTCCCTACCTACCTACCCTATTTTCGAATGCCATGTAATCGGAAGCAGAACTATTATTTTATTTTTTTTTTGGCCTAAGCTGTTCAAATGAGCTTTGACAAGGGCATTTCTTTGTTATTGTACATCCACTGTCAGTTTCTTGTGACTGAACTTGTGATTTACTTATGACTGGACTTGTGATGGACTTGTGACTGAACTTGACTACATCCCTGGTACTTCTGCACGTGAAGTATCCAGTGACTTCGTAATCTTGAAGATTATTTTGTACTAACATTTTTGTCTTGTAAAGAGTGAGTTTTAGGCTGAGACATGTATTCCATTTTTCTAATGAATAAAATATTGTTACGAAAAAGCACACTGTTACACAGTAAAATAAGCCTAACTCCAGAGCTCTTATTTCGTTTCTAGTGAATTAAATGCATCCTTTTGTAAATTTTAATACCAGGGTTGTTTGACTATCGTACTTAATATTCCAGTTTCACATGATTTTCTACCTCCATCATCTTTCATTGTCCCCCTTTTCTACACCCAATAAACCTGAAACGAGTGAAGATATACACTGTGTGGTGCCTTAAGTAGAAGTTTTGAATATTTAATGTGACACTTACTGCCTTTTTTAAACCCAAATTAATCAAAAAACTTCTGCCTTGTTGATAACATGTATATTTTGAAGGATTCAATTATTAACTTATTGTGTAAACCAAATGTACTTTAAATCTCATATTCGTTGTGTAATTGCAATGAGATTGGACAAAACTCAGTCTCTTGTATTTGCTTTGACCATGCCATGGCTCTTTATCATTTGTATGAACATTATAATATATTCCGTCCAGCCAGCTTAAAGGGAATATACATCATTTGCTTTTGCTGAAATTTTCAGAAATGGATGGATTTGGGGGGTTGGTAATATATAGCAAATATTGTTACACTGACTTTTTTGACGTTTTGGGTTTGTAGATGCTATAAAAACCAAGGAAAACAATAATTTTCCTGTAGTCTAGTTCCCTGACTCCATTTAAGATGAAACGGAGCAATTTATAGACATTGGGGAATTGTAAGGTCAGGGAACCAGTGTAGCTGGCTTGTACCCGTTCATAGGTGTGTAATTGATTGCAGACAAATGCGGACTAACTCAATATGGTCAATTTGGGCCAGTATTTGAAAAAAAAGCCAGTTCTTTCCAACGCTGGTCGGCCTACCAGCGTTGGAAATTGATACAAAATACCACTTGTCTTGAAAATGACAGTATATACCAGGTGCCATGATTTTACAGGACGCTTTACACTGTCATTCACTAACAGTCCAGCAAGGTATTTCAAAATAATTTGTAGTTTTATTTTTTTGGTGTTTGCAAATGTTGTATAGTCCCTTTAATGATGCTGCTGAACCATGTAGATAAGTGGGAGGAAAATCAATGCCTTGGTAAAGTGTTCAACTGTATTCTTAGAAATAACTAAAACGGTGGAATATTACTGCTGTGGTGGTTGAGTTTTTGGTGCTGGTTGGGAATCATCACTGTTGGAATCGTATAACTTCCGATAAAAAAGTCAGTCCTCTTAAGTTATACCATTAAACTTCTCAATCTATCGAACACCAAGACCAAGGAGACATTGCAACTTGATGTTTATGTTTGTTCTGTTGTAAACATTTGTAAACAGCACTGCTCATTTAGTATCTGTGCACAACTTAAAAAGTGTTTTACTGATAAAAGGCTGTTTTGTGAGAAGCCTGCGCCTTCCTACTGAAAATATGTTAAAAGTTATTCAATGTGTACATGGAATTCTGTATTCACTTAAATTATTATCAGCTACTTTTGTAAACCTTTTTTTATACATATGTGAGGAGCAATCTGTTTAATTAAGACTGTTGATGTGTTTTCGTAATATTAAACTGATGGGGAATGAATTCTGAAATTTGACAATTGTAGATGAATGATTTCCTGAGTTTATTAGTTGGTCACTATGACACACAGTTATTCACTTTTGAATAAGACGTTTGTAAACAACCAAAATTGGACTTAAATAGTGTCGTTTGGCTAAAAATTCGTCTGCAGAAATTTGTGGGGCTTTTTTTAAGAACACGGGGCATAGCAGGCCTTTTAACATGTTTAATCTCAAAAGTTTTAACGTAAGACTATGACTTGTCACAAGAGGGCGCTTCACTAAAAAAAAAAAAACGAAGAGACGAATGACAGAGCGGCTTCACGGACGAAACTTTGCCACAAATGGCAGGTGAAAATGACGAAGATGCCACCGTCGACAAATCATTGGTGGTAAATGTTTTGCATAGTCTTACGAAGGAAGTGGCCAGGCTTTTGGAATCCGCCAGAAAACAAGCAAAAGGTATGCAGGGAGTAAATTTCAGGGGTTAGCTAAAAAAAATAAAACTAAAGACAAAAGTGAATAGCTTGTCAAAAAGTATAGAGAGCGCCCTCACTGCCTGCCAATGACTGCAGACAGATTTTGTTAAAGTCATGACTTTAATCAAAACTCCGAAAGGGAAAAAATGTTGCAACCTGATTGCAGGTCAACTCGCCCCCTGACCGACTCGCCCCTTACAAGCTCGCCCCCTTGCCGACTCGCCCCCTAGCCGACTCGCCCCCTCGCCAACCCACCTCCTAGCTGACTCGCCCCCTGACCGACTCGCCTCCTGACCGACTCGCCCCCTGGAAAAAGATGCACCGTACGAGGACATCGTGAAAAAAATAATAAAAAATAAAAGACAGAAATCTTGTATGTGACTATTTTGAAACCTTGTATGTGAAAGCGGCAGCTCAGGAATGCTGCCGCTTTCGGGAAATTTGTGCAGGCAAAGTTTTTCATATTTTGGAAATTGGAATTTGGATGCAGTTTGCATTTCCGTTAGGCAAAGTAAAAAAAAAAACATGTTTAGCGTCCCCGCCCGCTTCCTTTTTAGAGGCCGCCTCCTTTTTTTTTTTTTTTTTTTTTTTTTAAAGACAAAAATTGATAAATTTTAACGATCTCTGACGAAAGAAATCGTATTTTTAGACTTTTATACCGTGTATAAAGCTGTGGAAATAGTCAATGAGTCCAAGTGGCGGCCATTTTGAAAAAAGCTGGTAACCATCTTGAAAAATAGCCCGGCCGCGTTGTCTTGAAAAATGTGTCGGGCGGCCATTTTGAAAAAAAAAAAAAAAAAAAAAAGGGCCTCCTCCTTCCTTTTTGTCAAAGAGGCAGGACGCTAAACATGTTTTTTTTTTTATTTTGCCTTAAATAAAAGGTTGTTTTTTTTGTTTTCTTTTTAAGAAAATCGGAGCCCCCCCAAAAAATAAGAGAAATAAACGATTTTCCTCAGGCCTTGACATTTCTTGAAGTGATTCGACAACACTTGCAGAATGCAGATGATTCATTTCGTCTTAAATTATTCTATAGCCTGCAGACTTCAAAAGAACATGGAAAAACTGGTAGTTAAACTTAAAGTGTATACAAGTGTACTAACAAAGTAAGTATATATGTGACCGCAGTTACCACACATTATACCGGGCAATGTGTTCTCCTCCACTGTCTTTAATTTTTTTTTTTCACAATGTCCCCGTACGGTGCATCTTTTTCTAGGGGGCGAGTCGGTCAGGAGGCGAGTCGGTCAGGGGGCGAGTCGGCTAGGAGGCGGGTTGGCGAGGGGGCGAGTCGGCTAGGGGGCGAGTCGGCCAGGGGCCGAGCTTGTAAGGGGCGAGTCGGTCAGGGGGCGAGTCGGTCAGGGGGCGAGTCGGTAAGGGGCGAGTCGGTAAGGGGCGAGTCGGCCAGGGGGCGAGTTGACCTGACACCTGCAACCTGACGCTACTTTCAGAACGAAAAAAGACAAATTTTTTTGGCTTATCTTGTACCTCGGAGAGTATTCTTTCTTGTAAGAACTGTAAGTGTAAGGAATATGTTGACAAGTTAATTAAGAGAGATTTGTAGGTGAATGTGTGGCCAACCTGGTCTTTGATAATATTAATAGGCCTAGTTAGTAGGGTGTTTGGTCACGTAATAATTATCGGGGACAAAACTCGCACACGAAATACAACTTGAACGCGAAGAGCAAAATTATTTTGGCAAATTTGTTTCTTCCAGACTTTCAATAGTTAAATATTACAACATTATCTTTATGAAAACACTCAAAAACTTATCGCTATTACATAATGCATAACGTTGATGACGAAAAATGTGGCAAAATTGCTTCACCAAGGTTTGCCACACCCATTGGGGTCAACATTCAAATTGTCAATTGTGGTTAATAATAAATTGTTAAAGTGGTATTTGGTAAGTTTGGTGGAAAGATTTCAGTACACGGGCATCGCTATATAAATTTTGAAGCGTCAAAAAGTTACACATGTACGTCCTATGTCGTTGTTTCTCAAATTTTCCTCCTTAACTCTCACCTTTTCCTTCTGTACCCTTGTCTGTTATTAATCAGATATTTGCTTACCGAACATCCATTGGAATTGAACCAGGAGCGCAAGTGTTTTTGTTTTATAGCAAAATGTAATTATAATGTATCTGTCTGTTTGAAGTTTGTTGATCTTCATCATCTGTGCTTCTCTGTGCCAAATATCCCAGATTCACTGCAAGACTTTGCATCAAGCAATGTGAATGCACTCGGAGCCAGTATAGGTTTATACTCCGAAGCATTTCTGAGGTAAATATACATTATATACTGTTCTATTTCATACTGCTTTTACACAGTGCCTTTTTAAAAAAAAAGAGGAATTCCTAAATAAATGTAAATAATTAACCCTAACCCCCTAGGCCCTTGTTGCTTACAACCATCCTCAATCCTCCAAAATCCTCCAAAATTTTTCAACTCCGCCTAAATTTTTCAAAATTGTCAGACAGTCCTGCCTCAAAATGCATTCATCCTCAATCCTCCAAAATCCTCCTCAT